GGCCACAGCCTCCTGTCCTCCCCTCGTCAGTTACAGCAGCACTTTGGGTACCAGACCCGGCGCCGCGTGCCCGTTAACCTCGCCCGGGAAACGGAGGCGGCGGGCGGCACAGTCCCTGCCCGCTGTCGCCTGGTTGCCCAGTAAAGTTGCCCGAGCTGCGCGGCCACTTTGCCTCCTCTTCTCGCTCCGAGCTGCTTGTCCCCTGGCCCGACACGGGGTCAGCCTCTTTCCGCTTAGAAATTCTCAGTACAGAGGCGTCTGCAGCGACGGCTCGTTATCATTCCGGCTCTTCATGAGACCCCTTTCTCCCCCGAGCACTGACACGGTCTCAGCCACAGTTGCACGGCCGTGGGCGCGAACTCGTGTGCAGTGGGGGGACCCGCTGCAATCGAAGGGACTGGAGAGGTTCCCGCGCTGGCCCGGGGGACGCGAGCACAGCGAACGTGCCTGCCCTGAGCACCCAGCGCAGAGCGGGCCTGGGGGAGTGGGAAGGGGCCGGGGAGGCGGGAGTGGGTCTGGGCTGAAAGGAGTGGGGCGGGAAGCGGTACCCAGGGAGATTCTGTGCATCCTTCCCACTGTCGGAGAAGGAGCTGTCCTGACCCGCGCGGAACCCACTCTGCCCCCACCTTTCCGCTGGGTCCTTTCAAAGCACCCTCTCCCTCCCGGGTCCCCGGCTCCACCGAGAGGGGTTGGCTGGCAGGCGCGTTCAGGCTGACAGTATGCCCCTCTGTCTGTGGGCACGGCTTTAAAAAAGCGATGAGCACTGCTGCAGTGCCCATTAAAAAAAAAAAATCAGCAAACCACAAAATCATTTAAATATCCCGCTCACTGTAAATGAGAAAACAGGAAAGGGGGCAGTGCTTGGGAGCATCCTTTCTTTTTATTCTTCCCTCTTCACCCGTAGGCATTTTCTACCCTCTACTCCATTGCGTCAGGGGATTATTTGACACTAGAGATCAGTTCAGATGGACTCTGTGTTCAGGTGAGGACTTTCAGACGCATCCTCACCAACTGGGGAAACTTCGCTAGCAGAGGTTTTCCCAGAAATGTCAGGAAAATGGGTTTGCCCAGTAAGAGGAAAGAGCTGGAGAAATCCCCTGAAGAGGGCAAAAGCCTCTCCTCTGCAGCCTGCTCTCTGCCCTGGCCACAGCGCATGAGCTTGCCCACCCAGGAGCCCAGTTCTCCTGGAACGTGCACCCCAAATCTCCTGGTGCTCTAAATTGCATACGAGAGAAAGGAGGCACAGAGAGAATTGGCCCTGCCACCCATTGTAGTTGAAGGTGGGGTGGAGGAAGATAATCAGAAGAACTAAGACACCACTTCATTTAAGACTCGGGGTTTGTTGGAAAAAGCAAATAGGGAGGAGAAATATTTGCTGCTCTAGTTAAAGTTGGGGAACAATAAGTTTCTGTGTTACGGCCAAGGTCACCATCCGTAGACCTTGGCCTGGAAAAGAGGTCTCCTATTATCCGTATACTAAGGTAGGACGCAATGCTTTTGTGTTTGAAAGGATCTCTTGCTGCCTTTTCCCAAGCATCCCAGTCTCGGGAGCGAGGTACATGAACAACATTTGTGATGTACATTTCGTGCAGAAGCAGAGTATCCAGATTATTTTTTTGTTAAAAAAAAAAGCTTGTACAGAGACAAGCTTTTGCTCATGGGAAATGGAAGGGAAAAATGATTTGGGGTGATCACTTTCCCTGATATTCCATTAGTTTCCTACCAGCTTATCCCCCTCTGAACCCTGGCATCACTAAATTTTTTAAATCAGTGAAAGAGCAAACCCACGGTGGAAACTTCTGTCAGTTTAGTAGAAGATCCCAGCTTACATTCACACAGGGCTTCTCACAGCCAGAATGTGCTAGACTCAGTAGAAACTGGAAGAGCTTGTGTGTAAGGGAACACTTGGGCAATGACCTACGGGGAAGAAATGAAGGAATGTCGGAGGCAAAGATCTGTTGAGGGTGCTGAAAAATTATGTGAGGGCCACAATGCTGTAGAAAGTCAAAACTGGCAAGAGAGTAAAGGTAGTCAAACCTTATTAGAAAACAATGAGATCCTCCAGTTTGAGAAATAAAATTTGTGTTGTCATGTTTTTTACTACACTCCTGGAACAAGGAGGCTTTAAAACACTTACACTCTGGAATGTATACACTTTGCAGAGATGGGTGCACTACATGTGGAAAAACTTGTCTGGATTTCCTCTTATCAGCAGAATCCATTGGCTTGGGTTTTCTAGACCATTCCAGTTGAAGTTATTTTCTGGTGGCTTCTTGCTGAAGAGTCCCTCATGTGGAGAGAGGGGAGAAACAAGCTGGGGATACTTATTTTTGACATTATTTGCTTTTTGGCTTTTCTTCCTGTGATCCAAGGATGCTCACTTTAAGACAGATTTGCCTAAGTACTTTAGTTTCTGAGATGCTTTAAATACATGAAAAGAAAAACAGTGTTCACTGGGATTTGATGGATAAACAAATGTACATAGTACTATAAGAATTCCATTTAGCTTAGTTTTAGATCATTAAAGGAAGATTCTGCTAATTCTTCATCTATGTGCCAGACTATTTTCTCTTTATGAGATTTTTAACAAAGAGTATATATATATTTTTGCTATGCTGCATGTGTGGATATTGATTTTTAAAACTGCTGTTTAGTAAATAGTATTACCTTTGGCAAGTTTTTAAACTGAAGGTAAGCTTCAATAATTAAGTGTTAAGCTATTGCTGTCATTATCATAAAACTAAATTTAATCTGCATATTAAAAGATTTACTGGTGGGAAACTAACATATAGTTATTTGTATAAAACTTGCTAATGAAGACAAGCATGTTTCATCTTCTCTTCTGAACACACGTGCCTGATGAAACAGATCAGTGTTGAAGGGGAGAGTTCTCATTCAAAGAATTCTGGTCTTTCTTTTCCCTTTGATCTCTATCTGTTTCTTTCTCCAATAAATGTATAACTTTACTCTGGATTTTGCCCTGGTGTTTGTTTTCAAGAAGAAACAACATCAAACAACTCAGCATATGGGTGACTGCTTTGGAAATGTGAGTGCTAATGAATATTGATATTAAGGAAAGTACCCTGTGTCCTGGACTATCTCTGAGTTACAGAGTACTCTTAGTAGTTGATATTTAAAAGAATAACTTTAGCTTTTATTTTAGCTTTGGGGTTGCCCTCTTTTAAACTACATATCTTAGGCACTGGAACACAGAATGCTACTAATTTGTAGAGCTGGCACTTATACATTTGCTTTTTGTAGTGTTTATTTGTAAGAGATATTAGGCTGAGTAAATGGTATGTTTAAGTAACACATATGTCTTTGACGATTCTTTTACTTAGCTTTTGAAATATGTTTTAATTCACTTGTATTTAGCAATCAAGAAATTATGCTTTCAGATGCTAAGTGTATATTTGTGGATAACTGTAATTTGCTTTGAGATCAAAAACATAAAACACATCAGGAGTATAGTACAATTTTTGCAGTATTATACCAGCTGTTATTTATTTATTTGTCAGAACTGTTCCCACTAAAGGAAATGGGATGATTAGCTAGAAGTTAAAAGTTAAAATGGAATTTTTCCATTACGTGTAGAACATAAACAGTATGCTTCTGGACTATTTTCTTAATTTTCAATTAAGGTACAAAATTATAAACTATATAGTTATAAACTACATAGTTAATCCTGAGGTGCATGAGACAACTTTTCAATAAATATAATTGTACTTGTTTGAGTTAATTAAATATAGTTCAGTCACTGTTGTTTAATTTCATCTCTTTCATTTAAATAAAATTCCATTTACCAAGAGCTTGAAACTTGCAAGGTAAAAGCTTCCCTGAATAATACAACTGGGTCATTAAGAAAGTACACGGGTGAGAAATGATAATCTAGCCAAAGAATGCATAGGCGTTTAAACAAGTGGTTGATTGAAAAATGCTGAGGTCTAGAACCAAGTCTCATAGTACATTCTTCTACAATTTCAATCAAATAAGAGAGTTGGCACTTAGAAGAATTCTAAAAATGTTTTTTTTTTTTTTTTTTGCTTCATCAATAAACCACTCAGCCCAGGAAAGTCGGCTTACTGCAGTGTAGGAGGCTTTGTGATGAGTGTAAGTAGGTGGTATTTTTTTGTTAGTCATTCCATAGTGAAAAATAGTACTCTCCAACAAACATCATATTTTTAGCAACCTGCCTTATATATTCATTTCTTGGCTTAGAATAAGGAAACATAATTGTGAGTACTGAATTATTTGACTTCTTTCATATCTAAATGAATTATAACTTTTGTCCACCCAGGTCAAGTTCCAATTCTCTTTTGATAACGTCGGGACCAGTCACAAAGATGGAGAAACAGTTAACCTTGATTTCTTTGTATGCGGAGTGTAGACTTGTTTCACTGAAGTTAAAGTAAACTTCAAGTAGCCCTAGGGAAACATTCACTTTTTTATATGGCTAGGAGGGATGAGGGAACATTTTTGATATAAGTGGAAAGAGAATTAAGAAAAATACCTTTGAGGGAAGTTGTGCAAATGATAATTTTAGACATCTTCAGTGGGCCACTGTCATCACTAAGTGTATATTCCAATCTCTGTACTGGCTATTATAG